CTTATTGAAAGGGTACGAAATTCTTTTTCGAGTGTGAAGGTAAGCCTAAGTACGACAAGCCGGATAACAAGAGCCAAAAACTGAAAACATTTTATATCGTTTTCTCACTGTTCATCCCGAACACAAAATTACATTTATGAGTGGAAAATACCAATTGGTAAACAAAGTAGTATTTTTGAATTTGCAGATTTTACCGTAAGTCGTTCCGCCTATAATACGGCAACTACTGAGGGCATGCCGCAAGATTTTAGATTACATAGAGTTCTGAGCAATTTTCATTTCATCACCTTTGTCATATATTTATGACATTAAAATTCCTATAGACATTTGATTCACTCTGTAAAATTTTTTCATTTGTCTGTATGATTAATTATCTGCTGCGAAGTCTTTTTAGTTGTGAAATTTCTGAAATAATTTTTATGCTTTATTATTCATTTTTGATATTACTCATTATTTGGAAAATTTTGTGCATATAAACGCCCTCCGGTCTGTCAAACACATTGCCACCAATGTTCCCTTTTTTGTTTCTCCTAAATGAAATGCTTTTTACTCGAATCTTAGAGTTAGGAGAAGATCTAACTGGCTCAGATTTAGTTTTGATCAATCAAGCTCCACTCGGTAGTTGGCTTGAGGAAGGAGCAAGCCATTGCCGTGGTGGAGACGTGCTTTTGACGTACAAGTAATCTCTAGGTTAGCTATGTAGACATATTGCAATATATTTACGGAGCCTATATTTTTCTACTTAACTGAACTTTTTTCTCCATAAATGTCAAATTATTCCAGAATGGACACTATGCGCCTATTGTGGTGTTTGCTACTTTTAGTGAACATACTTCCATTAGTGTCCTGTAGAGTAAGCGAATCCCTAGTTTTCATAACTACGACTAGTTTTCTTGCAATAATAAAGGATAGTAGCGACTTAGTATCGCGAGTTGATCATGCAATTTTCAGGGCAAACCAGTCGACATTTCCAACCAAAAAGGAGGTGACATTCTTCAGCTCAGAGAGAACAGGAAGTGAGCATATCTCTTTCAATATTTTTTCATACTATTTTAGACGTTTTTTAACCTTCTAGAAAAGTCTGTCATGACTTTTGTTGGATCGCATTCAGTTTCAGCAACTTCGTCGTTCCTTATGGTAGAATGTTCAATACCTTGTACCGCTACTCGTCTCTTAAGTGGAATATTAAAGATGATAATGGAAATCATGTGATCCCATATAAGATTAGGGGACAATACGGTAG